ATAGAAAATTTAATACGATCGAAAAAGCGCAGATTTATGTGTCCCACAATGTAATAGCGTTGGTGAAATCCTAACTTTCATTGACAATTAACAAATGACCTGGTACAAAATCATTTGAGTCATTCGACACGAATTTCTATCGGTTAATATCAAAAGCATTTTAATGCCTATAAACAAAAGTAAAATTTAAATTTTTGTTTGTAAATATTCAATTAATAAAGTAATCCGTTCCCACAAGTACAAGTAAACGCATTAAAAATGTTGAGTACCACTTAGTAATATGTTTGACGTCACAGGTAGTAAAAAGAGACAGGGGCGTACTCTGTCAGACAATAATTTTTAAATTTACTTGGGGATATTTTTGATTAAGTTAAAAGCCCAATTGGAAAAAAAAAACTAGTGACATTTTGATATTATCGTATATAATTTTGTTTAACAGTTATTATTTTAAATAAAAATTTTAGAATTGTTTTCTAAGCTCATAGAGGTTTATTGATGATGTCAGTGACTAATTAAAGTAAAACGTCCAATTACAATATTAAACAGTATGGCAAACATTTATGTGTAAACACATTAGCAGTATAATTTTAAATTGAGTATATACAGGAGAAGAATAATTATTTATGTTCTAAAAATAATAACGAAAAAACTAAACCGTAATGGATAAACAAAAACGGACATTGATTGACAGACACGAGTTAAGTAATCAATCACTTATTGATATAAATATAATGTCCCTGTGGCGCAGTGGAAAGCGTACTGGCCTTCGGATCCAGGGGTCGTGGGTTCGACCCCCACCAGGGACACATGAAATATTTTTCTATTTTTCTAAGATATTTGTTGAACAACAACAAAACACAAAGTAAACATTATGACACTAATCTAAATTATTATCTACGATTTCATTTAACACACACACGTATAGAGTTATCCTACATATATATACATATATACAGAGTGTATTCCTTATCGGTCTCCAATGCACATAAACAACACGTTAATAGCCCAACGTCACAGATTCTTATCGCATCGTCGTCATTTTGAACAGTTTAATTATAAATATTATGGTCGCCAGCTAAACGACCGAAAAAACAAATTGAGAATCAGAAAATAATTTTATAATAAAAATCGAATATTTTAACTATTATTAAACAATAATAATATATAAAAAGTATCGCTTAAATTCCCTCGAACTGTAAAAGTATTTTTAATCATTACAACTTTAATTATAATTTTGATCGTTCTAACAGCAGATAAAATAATATAGTGTATTATGCTAGTTAGGCGTACTGAAGTAATCTATGACATTTTTTATTAATATGTATAACACGGATGAGTGTTTTATCTCTCTACAGCTGTAATTTTACACAGATTATACATTCACAATAAACAAGCTTACAATATAATTAGAATATTATAACGCACGATGATTGAAATGCATGAGCAAAAAAAAAAATATTTTTCTTGTGGTAAATATCATTTATAACTGCACAGCGTGCACAAAAAAAATTAATACAATGAACCTCTTCTTATAATAAAAAAATCAACCTAGTCACTAGTTACACGAATAAACAGGAACGCAAATTACTGAAAAATAGATAAGAAAAAAAAATACTATTTACTTATAGTTTGCTTCAATTTAATGCGAGAAAGTTTTTTTTTTAACAAATACTACGAATATATATATATTTTTATGTTACAAATCACATGCTAAATTAAACTTGAACAGCCTTGTTTCTTATTTGCTTATTTACCACTACTGTCGGTGTTGGAGTTCCGTGACTGGGACTCGTAAAAAAGTAACTTTTCATAGACACAACTCGTCTATCCTTTTCGTCACCGCGTACAATATAATAACGACCTCGTTTTGAACCTACTCGTAAAACATCGCAGTGTAGTTCTTTCGTATGTATTGACAAACGATAAAAATTCTTGTACTTTTCGGGGAAACGTCAATTGACGCGATCAAATTATTACTATACCTGCGACAATCACACGCGCACACAATACGATCGCAGTCCACGTGTGCGCCAAAATTGTTTAATTCGGCGACAATGTAGCGAATAAATAGCCCAATGTTATTTTTGGATGTTTATTGTGACAAATCGAACGTCAAAATGAAACGAAGCGCCCGCACCGTACGATGGTAAACAATTTGATGAGAAAGTTGTTAATATTTTTTGGAATTCCTTAATGAGGCCCTACTGACAATTCCGAATAAAACCGAAAAAAGACCGACAACAGAGAGAATGAGGTAGACAAAATTATCCGGTGAATTTTCCGAGTGGAAAACCCCGGTGAAAGTTCAACCAAGTTCCATTTAGGCATACGATTTCGTAGAAGACAGATCATCGGGCTGCATGGGCTGCGCGGATTGTGCGGGCAGAGCAATACGAAACTTTTCTACACCTACCCTTTTACCGCTGGCCCCTTTAACCGTCCGCCGATATCCGGATGTGACAAGGAAAACTTTAAATCGTTCTGAATGAGTGAGTCGTTCGTCCTTACATCTGGCTGTGTCCGATATACGTGGCCCGACAGTTAATAATAATTATACTCCTCACGCACTGTGGTACGCGGAGAAACTTTTCAATTAACTGCAGGCAGCTACTGAAGAAGACCAGCACAACTGAAACGAATAATACGACCCGCCGCTGAGATAATATTATTGCAGCCATCCTCAGCCTTTAATACCTCAACGGTTTGTCCGACAACACTATTACGATCACATAATTTACCAAAATGCTTTCTCCAATTACGACTTACGCTCTATAAAATAATTATACTGTTTTCAGCACTCGACTAAACCTACGACTTCAACCACTTCGAACTGCTTAATTTACTGAAGTTCAATAAAAAAATATATATTATTAAAAACACGGAGAAAAAAGTTTACAACAAAAGTGTATAATTGAATAAATATTTTTATTAGTTGGGTCGAGTTTATGACCATATATATATATATTTATTCGGATAATCTTGTTACATAACATTGTACTGGTATTATATTTTTATTTGAAAAAACAATTCACGGCTAATTACTTTACAAAAATTTTGCCGTTAAATTATAAGTGTTTGTGTTAGTTATTGTATACTTGTTCAAATATAAAGTGTGATTTATTAAGTTTACAACCCTTAATTTTTTATAAAGATATTAGTATTTGAAGAATTAAAAAAGGCGAGGAGTGATGTTTTATTTTACCATACCGCACTTATAAGAATTCTTCGGTGTTGCGCAATCCACTCGTCTATAACTAAAAATTATAACAATTCAAAAAGTATAAATACAATCTGGTTGTCGATTAGTAAACATTTTATTTAGACCATTATTCATTTAATAGAATAATAATAATATTAGGTTCTCATTTAATTTCGGAAAGTTACCCCTAAAATCTACCGTTTGAAATTATTTTTTCTTGCGATAAATTTTATATTTACAATGATTTTCAAGAATAAATAAAATTTTAATCTTCACATTTTTATCATTATTTGACGCAAATATAATAGTGTACTTAATAAATCACACTGTATAAGTACAATCGCTTAGAAATAAATAAAATTGGACACGATCGTGTGACTGAATAATGCACAAGAGACATATACCGAAGTCGCATAAAGGCTGGAGAGTCAAATTACAGTGAAATAAACGGACAACGTATAGGTCACGCGAGATTAAGAAACTCGCACAACTGATAATAATTATATATGAATTCTCTTAATTGAAACCAAACGAACGCAGTCTGCGGTAAGTACACTCGTGCGTTGTTTAAAATGATCGAATTGTTCCAGTAGCCCGTTGACTTATTACTCTTTATGGCTACTTAAAGTTAACCAATTTCCAGTAATGTGTTATAGTTTAATTATTTTCAACAGAGTACTTTTCGTCTGAAACCGCTGATAAATTCTAAAGTTAAAAATTTATATAAAGGGAAAGCTTAACTGTAAATCCGAGTAGATTTGGAAAATTAACTACTGCTGTGTCTGCCACGGCGGATATTTCGGGAATTTATTGTGCGACAAAACGGAAGGTTATTTAAAATAATTTCTCTTCACTTACATTCTATGGCGTTGGCATTAATTTCCCTAGTGCATAGAGACTAGAGTATCAGGGCACACAAATTTATACTTTTTTTTGTATACTTTATTAGGCACTTTTTGCTCTGCCGTCCATATATTATCACACAACCTTTTTTTCGCCGCTAAAACCATCTAATAATCGATTTATTACCGCAGTTGCACCGAATGTGTTTTATGTAAGATTCTCTCTCTTCATTTTCTCTTGTCTCTCTGCACTTGCTGAGTCCCTACGCACCCTTGGCTGCTGGTCTCGACCTACTCTACGACCGCGACGGGTAATTCCACTAGGACCCTCTACCGCCACCGCGGATCATCTTCTTCTTGGCGTTGTGTCCAAAACCCCAAGCGATGGCAATAAAAAATGGTTAGTATACAGGACACAGACTCGTATCTCGAGATAACCGTTCTAATGCGTTTCAGGTGCTCAAAGGTATACACTCGGTACTAGCGCGTACACACAGTGCAATATTATCTATCTATACATATATAAATGGAGATGAAACGTACAAGGGATGTAAGAAACGAGCACATTGAAAACACACGGAGCGCGGCGCTCGTTACATTATTCAAAGGGATGCAATACCATATACATTTTTTTCGCCTCAAAAATTATTATTATTTTTCCCTGTCATCTTTATATTGTTTATGGCGATTTTTCCCTTTCTTGTTCGCTCAATAGATTCTATCGGATTTCATATCCTTTTTTTTTTTTTATTCTTTGCACCCTTGATCGACGGTCAGGAAATTTGCACGGTAAACTCAAGCGATGACAAAAGGAGCGATCATGCACGGGTTAAATCTTTTCGCCCAATAACGACCCGGTAAAAAGATGCGACGCTTTTTTCTTACGCACTTTTACGATTATTTCCTTTATTCATTAAATATTTTCCTCGACTATAAAAACAAGATTCCAATGGACTTACCGGCCCAAACTGTTCGAAGTAGTTTTTGACGTCTTCTAACGTTGTAGGTGCTGAGAGTCCGCCCACAAAGATCTTTTTCGTTCGCGTCACCATCTGCAAAACACATAAACATTTATTAACAATATTGTTATATTATCACGAAATAACTAAGGTGGCACGCTACACCAATAAAACAGCGGTATTATATTGTAATAAAAGTCGAGTAGACACATGGTAACTAAGTGCGCACAACAGTTATTAAAACTATAAATATAATAAAAATTAAAATTTTACTGGTCAAGGAGTCTATAAAGATAAAAAGTTTTATCTACATACGTTTCATAAAGTTGTAAGTATAATATATGAAAATTAAGTATTTTTACGGTGTACATCTAAATGATCCGATCTGATCGATAACGACAAAAGTGTTTAAAAAAGAACTGTACAATAATCGTTGAGCTACAAAGTTTACATTGTCGTTTTTATGATTATGAAGACGAATAACTATTTTATGGAAAAATATAAATTAGCTAAACTGAGAAAAGTTCTATTTGTAGTCAGATCAGGGCTATTTTTCTTCTTTTACGGCGCAAAAATGCTGTTATCATAAAATTTGGCGTTTTTATGTCTTTTAATTCAAAATTTATTGTATATTTATTGATCCTCTGAAGATATAAGTAAATTTCATTACATTTAAATTATATATAGGCATGTCTAATTTGGATTTTTTTTTTATTATAGTAAGTCAGCCACGCAAAACACACTTATACTTGGACAGATTCAATTCTGATAGTGTCTTTAAATAATTCAATAACATTGAAAATATAAATGTTTTTCTTTACCAAATAAAATATTGCGTATATAAAAATATATTCATTACATTCATTAATAATTAAGTTGATTTACTTTAGTAAAAAATAAACGAGAGCCGCTAGTAAAACTATGTTTGATCAAATTTAAAAATGAACTTCCATGTGAAAATGTGGTTCAACACTAAATTCAGTACATAACGGTTTTTAAAACTCCTATATATAAGCACAGGTATCATTGCCGCCCATATTTAGGCCAAAGTATTTTGATGAATGCCACGTAGATTCAATGGATTATGCTGTAAAAGTTTTAACCGACAGGGACTACCCGGTGATAAAAAAACCAGGTCCCGAGGTCGTTCGATCAAACAATAGTATCAAAAGCGCTTGATAAAATAAAAAATAGGATAATAACTAAACAAACTTTGTTGCAATATTCATTTCCGGGTCTCTAGAGATAGAAAATTCACGGTTTCATCATAATTCCAGCTTAAATATTTTATGACGTTCGGCCTTACTCGTGGTAATGCAATATACTTTTATTATATGGGCCATGAGATGTACAACAAATTATACTTGTCGACGATTCGCTAAAAATAATTTCCTCAAAAGAATCGAGATACTGGAGAATATCAATAAAAGCATCAAACCGTCATAAAATGAAACGAAGATTTAAAATTATATGAGTACATTATTAAATTCGTCTATACACTTCAACAAAAGAGATAAAATAATTTTACGCACTTGGCTTATTTAAAGAAAATTTTTTAAAATTATATGTATTTTAGCCGAATTGTTATCACATGAGTTTTATAAACCGAGCGTTCAAACAAAAATCAATATTGTAACTGCCACAATATAAAGTAGGGATTTTTAAAAATGACAAAAGTTGGGGTAACAACAATTGATAAGTATACCGTAACAACAATAGGGTGGACAATGAAATGATGATAATAATAAAAACAATTAATCGGCTGGCAGTAAACACGTTTAGAAAATAATTGTTGTATTATAAAACAATGTGAGTACACGACAATCGCAAGTTGCAAGTTGGTTAAAGTCGAAACGGAGAGGAAATGATGTTGCGAAAAGAGGGGCGACGTTACGAATTTAAATCGGATATGCACTCGTATGGCTCGAACCCTATTTCGTAGTGGAGTCGATTGGTAAAGAAAGTGGGGAGAAACACACATGTATGTAGTGAGCGGGAGAAGTCTAAACAATAATTTGTATTTTTTTAACGTGCGGGACCATTAAAAGATAATCACACTCGAGTGACCGGTGCCGCTATCTGTTAATGGTCTCGCGTTGAAAAAAAAAATTACCCGCCAAAAAAAATTGTTAAAAATAAATTACAGTTTCGTTACGATCGCGGTATTAAATATGTTTACCATGTTCTTAATAGGAAGCTGCTGATGTTGTTGCTGCTGCTGCTGATGGCAGAGAGTGGCCGCCACTAAGGGCTGGTGCTGAATTTGGAGATGATGTTGGCTGTGGTGGTGTTGCTGGTGCGGCGCTACAGCAGAATACACGGCTACAGGGAAAAGGGGAGATCCGCCGAACGGACAGGGTTCCGTGTTTACTACTACGTTGGCGATGGTGCCGGCCGGTGTGCAGCCTCAAAAAAATATATGATAAAATGTATTGCTAAAATGATTGTGCGGTTTGCGAATACAACTGCCGTGTTCCGGTGCGGTGAGTGTATTGTCGATATGTAAAGTACTCGACGAACGTGGTGATGCTGTCGGTGACTCGCAGATGTCGATGATAACGAAGACGGCAATAATGGGACTACAACGAACCCGCCGGGATGAAGGAGCCGCGAGCGTTGCCGTACCGATCTGGATTGGGGAACGCGCTCGAATGGACCGCCACCTAGCGGGACCGAACGAGGCCTACCACCTGACCGACCGACTGAGGCGCTTAACGCAAGCTACTTCCGCATGTGCCCATGGCAACGGCGGCGTATCCGAGCGGACGTACACAAGCACAAAGTTACATTTCAAGCACACGCATACATATGCACCAGCACACAATCGCTGGCCCGCGAGCTCGACGACCGTAATAAATAACCCAAATAATAGGCTTCTCCAGCTGGCTGTATGCGAAAGTTTTGTTTTTTGTTTTTTTTTTACCACCAAACCTACACCTACTGTCCCTCGTCTTTTCGACCCTTAGGTATTTTTCAATTAATAACTTTTTGGTGGAACGTCAACTCATTTTTTAATGAATTGGTTCAATAATTCAGTTATCTCGCGAAAAGACAAAAAAAATATTCTAATGCAATTCGGCGGGCAAAGAAGAAAAATATAACCGATTAATACGCCCATACTTACTGATGAAATAAAGTATCTATAACTTTTTCCAACGGTCTTGCTCATCGTTTTTCTTGACGGACGATTCACATCGGGGTGATATCAATACCCGAATTCGTCGTAAATTACCGAATAAATCCGAAAGATGTGTCTTTGACAGTGCCAAAAAAAAAAAAAAGGAAAAAATCGTCAGCTTAAAACGTAACGTTTGTACTTTTGTATAATAAATTAAAGGCGAAATTCTTCGGATGTTGGTGCCAGCAATAAGCAATAAATTTCAAATTACTAGTAAATAACGTTCATAAAGTAAAGGTAGGGAAATCTATCTGTTTACAGATATAAAACGAGTTCGATCATAATTAAATGGATTTTTCTAGTCGAGCGCAATTACCAATTTCTTTTACAACATTATGAAATAGACAAGGGAAATTTGCTGTCTTAGATTGTCTATAAGTTTTGAAATAGTAGTGTATTATAATCCTTAGTAAATATTATTTTAATGATTCTTTTACCTAAGAGGAAAAGAGAGACCATATTCGCCTTTACGCGTAATGACAGCTCCTTTTTATTTATAAGTAAATATTTTATAACCATTTTTTTAATATTTTTTTTATTTGAAAATTTCACGCTAATGCGCTCGAAAATAATCTTCAGTTTTTTACTAACTTATATTTCAGATAGATTTTTTTTTTACGGAAAAAAAATAAGTTACCCAGAGGCGTTTGGGGTGCAGTGGTTTGTATTAAAAAAATGACTGTATAATACACCATGGTATGGCGCATATTAAACAAAGATAATATAAAAATATTTACAGATTACTTGACAAATTAAGACGCCGTGACGTTATCTTTCAACACGGATCTTTTTTCGAACATTATGTCTATGATGTATTTAAAAATAATTGTTAATTTCGCATCAGTTGATATTAAGAATTAATTTAAATCCATCGAGGTTCGATACAAAAATAATAATAAAATTATATATGACTGAAATATTTCATTTGAGAATAAATCAAGATTAAAAATGTAATCCTCGCCAGATGGCACAGACAATAATTGAAAATGAACTTGAATCTCTATTTGCAGTTAAACTTATTTATAAAAGTAAAAAAATTGAAACCAGTAGGTTGTTTGTAATCATTGAACCACGATTTTTTTGTTCCAATAATTATATTTTAAATGAATAATAGAAGTCATAGAATTTAGTTTGTATAACTTTATCATACAAAACCAAAAAAAAAAATTATAGCTCTAATTATGATCATCAATCATTAAAAATATTTATTAAAGCAATGAGTTGCTCCAAAAACTTAATTTCGAGAAACATTAATAAAACTTAAGTGACATTTTTTTTCATTAATTTACTAGCATAAAAACACAACTTTTTTCCAGACTAAAATTCTCGAGTTATAAAATAATTTTGGGCCTTTCAATTTAGCTACGCGTGAAAGTAACTTATAAATTAAATTATTATTTTTAATCGCAGTTATAGTATAATTAATTGGATAAACATCTAATAAATAAAAAAAAATATTAACCCAAATTTTTAAAACTAATCCTTAGATTAACGCAGACCATTGTGATATAAAAGAAAACTTGTTGTAAAATGAACAACATATTTTCACTAAAATAGTATAAATTATAGAAATAATATTCAAATTTAAATAATTTCGATTATTTTCTTGAACATTTTTTTGGAGCTTAAAGTTAAACATCATCACAAAAATAAAGAATACAAATAAGTACCGTTGAATCGAAATCACATTGTAAAAGATATTTGATAAAAGGATCACTACATAATTAAAATATTACTTAAATTTCAACGCAGATTTAGTTGGGCGATGTAGCCGAGATGTAATAAGATCTCGAGGGACCCATAACTACGTCGTTTCCCTTGTTTTTTTATTTATTTATTTGTAAATGTTTTTTTAGTCGTATACATTCGCAAAATAGTTTATGTATTTTCTGGAAAGCGAACAATTGTAATAAGA